AAGGCATCAAACTAGTGGAGGGAAAGAAGGAACAATGGAAACTAGGGCTGTGTCTGAAATCATCCCCATACTCTTAAGTAGGGCACTATAATGAGCGTACAATCGATGTACTCTTAAAGGCTAGAATACCCATAATACACTGTGAGGGCCGTGCCGAATGAATTCCCGAGTCTCGCCAGAGGATGGTGCCTGCAGCTAAATCATCCATTTTCAAAATCACTTGTCCAAGGGGGTATGGTGTAATGGTGCTAGTAAATTTCACCAATAATTGCAAAGAAACAGCAAGTAACACATGACATTTTGAAGTAGAAAGACTGAAATAATATTTTCTTGTAAAACATTCTCCAGTAATATTTATTTACAACTTCAAAACATCTTCTTTTTTTTTTTTACAGCTACTAGATGAAAAACTATTGAGTCATTTATGTTTATTTTTTCTTAGGATTTTTTAAGTTAAGTCAGAATAATTGCAAAGAAACAGCAAGTAACACATGACATTTTGAAGTAGAAAGACTGAAATAATATTTTCTTGTAAAACATTCTCCAGTAATATTTATTTACAACTTCAAAACATCTTCTTTTTTTTTTACAGCTACTGGATGAAAAACTATTGAGTCATTTATGTTTATTTTTTCTTAGGATTTTTTAAGTTAAGTCAGCTTTATTGCTAAAGCGTTCTTCACAATACAACATCCCACTGAGCAAAGCAAACGAGATTGAGGCAAGGAAAAACTCCCAGTAATAAGGAAAAAGTGCAGCTGTCCTTATAATTGAGATTCTCACAGCAGTTTATTCCTCAAGACAAGCCAAACACAAGCATTTGAGATCGGTTTTCCTCCACAAACACACCCCAGAAAATCTTACGCTCAAGTGTTTATTATGTTGGAGCATTTGGACCTCAGAGAGACGGCCATGTTCAAGCTTATTGGCTGCAGATTCTCACGGATGGAGTGTTCATCTCCAGATCTACAGCTCATTTTAATGCAAATCATCTTCACAAGCTTCCAAACTGTGCGACGGACCACCATTACTCTGGAACAAAAAGTGGGCGAAAATACAAGCAAGTGTTTGATGTTGATGTTAGATTAGTTTCTCTCACAGCTGGTTCATGTTTAAGTTGATGAAATATATTCTACATCGTCTACAGTAAACTGCAGTTTATGGTGAGAATAAGCACATCCTGCAGATTGAGGTCTGTGTGATGTTAGGGGTTGCGGAAATGGACTATCTCCATTAGTTTGTGGGTGTTTAGATAGTTTTAGTCACAATCTCTACTGTACTTACAGCTGATATAGTGATGGAGATGATGATGCTCATGATGACGTACCAAAGGAGGAGGAGTGACCGAAAGTGTCGTCACAGGAACATACTTTAGTTTTATTAATGCAAACTACTCAAATCACAAACAAATGCAGATGAGAAAAATCACAGCTATCTTGATTGTGCTCTATGTAATCTCACTGATGTCTAGGAGAAACAATTTAAGCCTTTAACTGGAGTCTTTAATGTTTTAAGAATTGCTAATGTTCATTAAATTATTAAAATGTTATTTCTGAATCTTCTAATAAATTCTTTAAAAAAAACATTTTATCTTTTACAAAAGTTAAGGCAACATTGCATTTTATAATTTTGCAAACATTATGGGAACATTACTTTTGAATGTTCTGAAACAAGTAGTAACATCTAAAAAATGTCAGATGAA